AGACTTCTGATCAAAGTTTCTCATGTTACCACTTATTACGTATCATTTGAAAATAGAAAAATAATGTATTCGATAATAAACGTCTTTACGCAATCCCACAACAGTGTCCGAACAAAAAGGTATCATTCATAATCTACAAATCAGGGCCAAAACAAAATAAAATCAATTCCTTCTGCTTTTAACTGTAATGAAAAGTGTGTTGTTGTGTGGATTTGGCCTTGACATAACACACAGCATCTGCAAACAATGGCAACACAAACAACTGGGATTATGTAAACGCCATAGTGATTGGCATGTTTTCTAAAGAAACACTGAATGTCCCAATTACACAACAATTTGTCAGTTTATATACAGTATGATTTAGATGTAAATGAGATATTGTTCATTTTAGAATAGACTGATATTTTGTGGGTTATACTGACTGTGTAGGTTTCAGTTTTATACAAGTAATCAAGAACAAGAGAGTGTGTGTGTGTGCGTGCGGGTGTGTGTGTGTGTGTGTGTGTGTGCGTGCGTGCGGGTGTGTGTGCGTGTGGATAAATCACTGAAAGGAATTAATTTGCACTTTCCTCTTTGTGACATTTGCATGATCCATGGAAATTGATTGTCAAAACCATTTTGAAACAGGTTTTCTCGCAGTACGATTGAGAGACATAATTGTAGCATTGGTAGAATAAAAAAAAAAACAGGAAAAAAAACGGATCCAATAAAGACCATTATGCACCTGTTTTTTGGCAAAAAGCCAAGAGTTTGAAACTGTATGATAATGTTGTCACAATAGATTAATATGTATTTTAATTCATTAATTTACTTTCAATAGTACAAATCATTTGGACTAACTCTAACTCATTGTATCATAGGCATTTTTAACATAAAAAAAAAATGCAATTAAGATTTCAATCGACATTTATTAATCAATATGTATTTGTAAGACACAATTTATGTACAAGGCAATTCAAAAGGCTTCACAAGAGCAATAAAAACACAGATCGAAATGCTTAGAAATTGTCAAAACGGCAACACATACAATATTATACAACAATTTCATATTAAAACAGAGTAGCATGAAAGTATTGGGATTAAAATTCCCATATATAACTAACAGATCAATAGTAATTATGTCAAGTAAGGTTAAAACAAATCCCACAAAACTTGCAGTGCCATGTTTACTTAGTGCGCTTGTATAGAGTTGTAATTTTAAGAAATGTTATGAAGATTTTTTTTATGCTTACCTTATATATATAATTTTTTTCTTTCCAACTTATCTTGAGCCAAAACAAATTCCTAGTTTGTGACTCCCTGTTACTTCCACTGACAGTGAATTCTGACTGTGAAAGTCCCCGCTGCAGTGGTCATGGACTAGAGCCACCAGTAGATGGCGTAGTTTCGTTGATTGCTTCCCGGATGCAGCGCCTCCTTTTCTTAGTAAAATCATAAATTTTGCCGAACTCTCTCCGCTCAATAATGACTGAATACTGCGTTGTCTCTTTTAACAAGTTTGTCATGGTATTATCCACAGTAAATAGGGACATTCGTGACATTTCTCCCGTGTCCTTACAACTCAATACCACACATAGTTTCCATAATTCATAGTAGAAAAAATGGCAACTGTTTTAACCGTTGACACCACGTGGTCAGCACCATGGCGTCCATCAGCTTCAATCTCACTCACGTTTAAAAGTCTATATAAAGTTATTTTTCCTGCAGATGGTCTGTGGTTACTTTTCCAGGGGCACAAGTGGAAAAAAATCCCTCGAATCCAATGTCACTCGATAGGCCTTTTCTATTTAAAGAAAACGTGGTGCAATTTGGGGAACGAACGAACGACACTGGAGGAATTGTCAAAAAAAATCTAAAAAATAATAATAAAAAACCCATAGAAGGCAGTTTCTCATTTGCATTTGCAAAGACACCCTACAATAAAAAGTCCCCTGCTGTTTTTATTGTAGGGTGGGATGAGTACATAGTCTGTGTTGACTATAAAACGTAAAGCTGGGATACGTAATATATATTTTTCATGCATAATATGTGTTTGTCACAACAGAGATAGTCTTGTAAAGTTTAAACAACAACACACAATCTTTATTTTATTATGGAATATAATTTATCTTTGTTTGGAGTAGTTGTTAGAAAGATCATTGTAAGACACTATTTGATCTTTGGGTTGAGAGCTGATTGGCTGAGTCGGGGTGGTCTTCTTGTTTTCAGTCTTCTGTAAAAAACAGATAGAAAGATATAACAGAGGCTAAAAACATACATTCATGTATAGAACCAAACTGTTTTGAAATAATCAGAATCAAAATTATTTTTTATTGCCCTAACAGGAAGTCACACGCTTTGGTTCACGGTACAAAAAATCTATAACAGTGAATATAGGCATGCTTAAAAAACAAAAACAAAATATACATAAATTATATACAAGTGCATTAAGTACACACAATAGATGTTTACCAGTGCTTTAAGATGACAATAGTGATTTTTTGTGTTTTGAGATTTAGGTAACCCAGCTTTATAAAACACATTTGGCCCTAGTTTTTTTCACAGGGGCTATAGTTGCGGGTTTAGAAACGCTCAGGGGAAAACTGCAAAGCGTCACCAAATTAAATTAAAGAAGAAAACAAAAGAATAGCCTATATACAACTATTGACCAGATGCATCAACGTGATCCAGTCACGTGATTGTGAATGAGCTTACGGCGGAAGTATTGGAAACTAGCATTGCAGCGAGAGCAAAACGGACACAACTCTTAAAAACGGAGCTTCCTCTCTTAAATCGAGAAGTGGCTGCTTCAAGCACATGTTCGATTACGTTATAGGTGGAAGTAGGACATCAGGTCAGGGCTCACAAAGAGTGGTATTTGGAGAAGTTAAGGATTGCCTAACTGGATGTTGACCCGTACCTTCTCCCCCCAGTCAATTTTATCGATTAAATAAAATGTCTATTTTTGCCCGAATTCACCCTATATGATCTTTATCATTATCGTTAACAGTGCATCCCCTCACACTGGAGCAGATTTATATGTACATTTTGCTGGTAGCATTAGCAATAGTCCACTTTACTGTGGCTTTTTTGTCTACAGCCAAACATGATACGTACTGACGGAGAGGAAAATAGTGAAACACGCAATTGACTTAAAAGATAAAAATGTCAATGTTGCAGCGCACATACAGGACAGTAGTAAGATACACGTTTGACGTGTGTCATTGTCCTCCAAATTAATGGAAATAAAATAAATACAAACTTGTGATTGCTTTATCTTGTAAAAAGTGTTCACTGCATATTAGGGAGTACTTGGATGGGTCCCAGTCCTTTTGGTTGATTGCCGCCATCGTCGTCTTCTGTCTTCATAACGAGCAGGTATCAGATAAAAAAGCTTATGTCGTTGCCTGTTAGTATAATCAACCGCACTGCAAAATGTCACAGTTTTGGCTGTAATGCGCTGAAACAGGTTGTTTTGGTCAGGTGTCCGTAGGCTCCAGTTAGACTTCTGCCGTCTGTCATGGAGAGTGGGCGTGGCCGGGACGTCACATGCAAGGGGTCAATACAAGGAATTAACTGTTTGGAATTGCCGCAGCCATTCAACATCATCATATTTGCATTAGAGAAGTGGTTACTTTGAACAGGGACGTGGAAAAGATCAACCCACACGGCTTAAAGGCACTGACATAATGAAACTGGCTCTCAACCTGGTCTCTGGCTCTAAAACCTGTATTGTCAAACGCTACAAAGGCTATTATAATATAATTCTTGCTTTTCTTTTAACTTACGGATGTACATTTCCTCTAACAGTTGCCATTTCTCTTGTTTTTAGGAGCCACTTTTTGCCGTGTATTTTAATGTATATATATAATTTTTAAAGAAGAGCAGAGCACAATTTCTCTATCTCTCCTGTGATCCTTTACTGGACGATTTGGCTGGGTGTTTCTGTTAAAACTCTATAAAGCTGTGACAGACAAAAACATACATGTGAAAAATCATACCAAACTGTTTTTAGAGCTATAGGAACTAGTTGGATTAATTTTATTACATACTGTATGTCTAGCTAATTGCTTTGTGGTTAGAAAATAAGATATCCCAACCTTAAAGGTATATGGGAGGATTTTCTACTTCCGGTTGGATCATCAAGACTATTGAGCCTCCCAATTGTCAATAATTCTGGGGATACGTGCTCGTCAAATAAGACTTATGTTTTGTTCAAAAAGTGGGCGGTTCTTTCCGAAAATTGGGGAAAATCCTCCTATATACCTTTATTGACCAAAATGCAACATGTACTGTAGTCCTATGATTCATTTTAAGTCGGTCTATTGTATCCAGGTTAAAACATTGCAACTAGTGTTGTAAAGCTGGGGTATGTAACTTTAATATAGATCATTTTAAACACCAAAAATCGGGCTAGAATGCATGTTATCCTCCATCTCTCTGTTTCGCTGTTCTGTCTCAAAAGGCTGCTCTAAAGACGCGACAGAGGCCAAAAAACACGCGCTTATGAAAAACAGTGACGCAACCAAACTGTTTTAGAGCCAGGAACTACAGTATTAGATGGATTTTTATACATCCGATCAATAGGTTGTGGTGTGAAAGTCAGATACCCCAGCTTTAATACTCATGTTTTAGAGTATATGCAGGTGAATAGTCGTGCTTCATCACTGCTGCTGTGGCCCGTTGTCTGAGCAGCAACAGTAACAGGTTTGTGCCAGAAGTGCCTTTGCGCGCTCAGGAAGAAGGCGGTCGGACTTGCTGCTTCGTGGTGCGTTTTTGCATTTTCCAACCCCTGTCTGTCTGTCTGTCTGTCTGTCTGTCTATCTGTCTGTGCGTGCGACTGGCCGTGTTTGAGAGCCATTCACACACGTGCTTCTACTTTACAGCATGTGAGGAGAGAGGAGGAGAGCAGCAGCAGCAGCAGCAGCAGCAACAGCGCGCACTTTTACGCACACACAAACACACTCACAGACACGCACAGACAGACACACACACACACACACACACGTAACAGAGATGCCATGCCTCGGAGCCACGGCGGAGATGAAGAAGGCATCGCCGGGCTCTGGATGAGAACCTCTCCGCGTAAAGATGTGGAGTGTGGCCGAAGGGTGACGATGATGGCCACGAACAGCGCGGGGGACGGCTTGCTCTCCGCTGGCTCCTCTTCTTCCACGGCAGGTGGTGGTGGCAGCGGTGGTGGAGGGTCCGACAGCCTGCGAGGGAAGCAGGGCGCACGGCTGAGTCTGCTGGGGAAGCCGCTCGTCTACAGCGCACAGAGCGGCCGCCGGAACGTCCGCTACAGACGCCTGCAAAACTATCTGTACAACGTGCTGGAGAGACCGCGAGCCTGGGCCTTCATCTACCATGCTTTTGTGTGAGTTACAAGCTTCGTTTTTGCATGTTTTACGTCCGTGCGCGGTGCTTTTGGGCACAGCACCTGTTGATGGTAGAGAGCTGCGTTTGTGGCGTTTCAACATCTCCGTAATCTTCAGAGTTCAGGCATTTGTTGTGGAGCAGATTGACAAGGCGTTACAGCATTGCAATGTACAGTACGTGTACAAGTGGGAGATGTTGATTTGTTGGACATACTTTTTTGAATGGACCTAAGACATCTTGTGGAGACTTGTGCATATAGTGTGTCAAAAGATCTGTGTATTTGGAGTTCCATCCAGGCATTTCGTCAGCTCCATAGTCTTAACTTCACGCCCTTTGCAGAGTGAATTGACAATACTTCTGTGTAAACCTGTGTTTAGGGATGCGTTGATGCGATTTGAGAGAGCACCACAGGAAAACGCGTTGACTCAACATACAGAAGCAGATGAAGGCGTTTGCGCACGTGGTATATACATGTACAAAAACATGTTTGCTGTTGTGAATACTGAATTATTACACATGTCATTATAGCTGAGAGATTGGGGTTGCACACACACGTTTCATCAGCTCTGTCGTCTGTGCAGCGTGAATTGAAATGCAGTTCTCTAAATGTAAGGAAGTGTGTTTGAAGATGGCTGTACACGTGGTATGGACACACAAACACTGCGTATCTCATGTCATGGACTTAAAGTAATTTGATATTATATATACATTTATATTTGTAAAACATCTTAGCAAAGTCGTTACAACGTTATAGAGTGAGAATGTGGAATATTCACAGTGAATTGGCCTCTTAATGAGAAAGTAGGGTTTTCTCATATCAAACTTGAAAGGACATGGGCATTATAAAACAATAACAATATTTTTGAAAGACTTAAGTGTTTTTTGGCATTTGTCCATGTGGTGTAGACACTGCCTCTTGTTGACATAGAACAGTAATTATAGACTACATCAAAATTTCATTCAATAATCAATGGATGGAGGGATATATTAGCTGTAGATGGTTGGATAAGACAACGTTTGTGTTAAATATTCCCTAAGTATTCAATATATTTGCCTTAAGTCTGTGTCCATATTGCAATTTAACATTGTCTTGAATTATCCTGAGATATGACACTTGTATGTGCATGGCTAGACGTTTCAATATGATCTCTACCAGTAATATTTTGTCTATCAAAAGTTGTTTATGTGACAGACCTAGCCTTTGTTGTACAAGACTAGAAGTCATTTTGCGGAGTATTGGAGGGATTTTAATGCAGTGTATGTAGTTGGAGGAGTTAGCATTTGGCTGCCTATTACAACTCCAAGTTAGTCACATTTTTGTCATTACTTGTGTATGTGTAAAGCCTGTTTTTACGCCACAAGTTCATGAATGGGGAGTGTACACTTCTTTGTGCGTTTATAAATAATATTGGTCAAAGTTTGTCTTTATAGAGTAATGATATAATACTCAGAGATAAGGCTTCGACGGAGATAGTGGTGTAATCTCAATGTGCTTCTAACTGTTATATAATCAACCTATTGAATAACTTATTGAACAACAAACTATGTCTTTGGACGCAATCTGGTACACTGTAAACCAGACATGGGCAAACTTTTCCTCCTGAGGGCCACATTGGAATTTAGGTCTGGATCCGACAGCTGTCTGATACTCCAATGTTTTTCTCAAGCTTCATTTGAAAACATAAATGTATTGTTTAAATGAAAAAATAATAGCTCTGAAAACAGCACAGATGTGGATTGTATGATGTTTAAACTGAAATTACCCCACTGTGGGATGCATAAATGTTCTTAATCTTAATCTATATAAATTGAGGAGGGCTCAGGGGCCTGATAGAAGCATCCAAAAGGCCGCATCCGGCCCATGTGCCGGGGTTTGCCCACCACTGCTGTAAACCCTAACTTCAATCGTACTTCAGATATCAAAGTTATCTGAAATAGATTTTTCCCAGTAAGTAAATATTACTCATTTATTGTTAGTTTTTTTGAAGCTTGGCTATATCACTCAGGGTTTTCTTTGAATTGAACTGTCTCTGTTCAAGTAAGCCTCACGTTTCACATTTTGACGTGTAGAGTCTTTAATGAGGCAGGTATGTCTGTGACAGGGTGGCCTGGTGGCTGAGTGGGTAGCACTAGCACCTTCTCCTCCCAACTGCAAGGTTCTATGTACGAATCCCGTTCGGAGCATAAGTTGAAATTTGAACTTTATTGCAATCACTTGAGTTTACTTGGTAATATCAAGTAAGAGTGTACTCGAGGAAGTTAATCTGCAATTTATTTCCAAGGTTTTTTCAAGTAAACTTTACTTGTCAGGGTTTACAGTGTATTACATTTTTGCTTTCATTACGGGGGGGCAAACAATCTTATTCTTTGGTATATATGATAGATTTTTTGCAATGTGGGAGCTGGGTAAGTGCAAATGTTTATTTCTGCTCTTCTCTTTGGAAAACATTGAAACATCTGGCTTTGTGGCTCATTCAGTAGTTTCAATTCAGTATAATTCTTCAGTAAATATGCTTATTAAATATGGTACTTCCAAATGTGTTATTGTGACAGGAGTACTACTACTACTACTACTACTACTATTACTACTACTACTACTACTACTTCTACTATAGGGCTGTCTGGGCAATATGACAAATTATGGGTGAATTATGCCAAATTATAAAGCCATATTGATACTATCATGTGTCCACTGTCACTTTACTGTTAGCCCCATGCTGCTAACATGTATACTAGCTACATCACTATGAATATTTGAATTGAGTTGTGTACATAAAACTATATATTTTGGGCACTAGAAGATGCAGTTTTTTTTAATTATTGAAGACAACAAAACAGACAACCTCATCAACAACACAAACAGAAAAGTCAAAGACAAAAAATCTATATCTTTATTAAGCCCCAGATATATTATTTTATTTCTTGAGTACGGTTTAGAGTTGTGCTACACTTGATACTCACTAATCTGGTTTTAAATGTTCCTCATTCCTACTTGTGATGCAACACTGACATTTCCCCACTGTGGGACAAATACAGGATTTCTTAATCTTAATCTTGAATATGAAATTTAACATTTAGTAATTATTGAGAAGGCCTTGAGTCCTATGAGCAGTCATGCTTTTGTGATTCCGGGCAGTGCAAAAATAGACGTGATCTGATTAGCATTTCTCACTACACATTTGAACAAACCAGATCAAACTGAAGGAAGTGAACGAGATGCCTAGTTTTTAACCACCACCTTTATAGTCTCATCCCATAACACGTCCCGGTCTCTCAAACTGACGAATGCCCTTAAGTTCAGAGGGTCGCTCCTTTAAGGCTCTTGAATTTCGTTTCCTGCGTGCATCTGTCGTGGCGCCCTCACAACTGTCGGACAGAGGAAGGAAGTGAAGACACATGGTGACTGAGAGCGCCAGGGCTGATGGGTATGTGCAGCATGTGGGCGGGGCTTTTGTCTTCTGTAAAGTGCCAGCGACTCTTCAGCTGAGGTCAGAGCTGCTCATTTGTTCAGGCTCACATTAAAGCGATGTGGTGTTTGTAAATGGGTTTTTTTTTGGTGTGAAACAGCTTGTTATTCAGACACAGCAGGGGTCAAAGGCTAATGACAATGACACATCAACGTGGGTGGCAGGACATATTGTATTTGTTTGGAGAATTTAAAGAACACAGTGTAACTTTGCTCATTGCGGATGTTATTGGATGTTATTGGATGTTACTGGATCCATCCACAGCACAAAAGACACATTTTTCAATCTCTCCTAATTTCAGCTACTTGAATTGTATTTCATTTTTAAACTATTGATGTTAAACGTATATTTCTGACCATGGCACACTATTGTACTATTGTGTACAATATTTGTCAACAATAATATATTTAAACTAGTCCCTCCCTTTGGCATAACTATGACCGGTACCATTTGCTGAGGGAGAATAGTTAAACCAATGACGAGGTGACTCAAGGATTTGAATTAATTTTGACCAATGAGGAGTTTGCAGAGGTGAGCAAAGGCGGGTTTAACCAGTGCCTGTTTTCTCCTTTTTCACACAATGTTAAAAGTGTCGGACATTCACTTAGACCAGGCATGTCCAAACTAAGGCCCGAGGGCCAATTGCGGCCTGCTGTGTCATTCTATTTTGCCCTTTATGCCTTGCTAACCCAGAATACCATTCAGATTATAAACACAAGTTCATAGTGTTATCCAGCCAACTTCTGCTTCTCCAATACAGGCATGTTATACCTCATTGTAAAGCTTATTTGTGTTCACTGACATTTGTTTTTCATTATGGCAAAAAAATGTGTATATGGCACTGACGTAGCTAAAGTTTTTCATCTGATAGCTTTGGCAGAACTATAGTGGCCCTCTTAGTTAAATGTTTGAACACTCCTGACTCCGACAGTGCCATCACCAGATTATGTTACTGGCTTGTTTCCATTTCTCTTTTTTTCCCGACAATATATTTTAATTTGCTCGTTATCCTGTATCTTTGCATATTAAGTTCAAATGTAGTCTTTTATAAGGGTCTGGGGCCAGGCAGTCTGCCCATCAGTTTAGAGTAGATGGAAGATCCAATCTCAGATCGCAGGGCTGTGGAGATGGCAATCCAAGACGAAAGCCATCGCAGATAGTGATGGACTGTTGTTAATGGAGTTGTATCGTGTGTCAGTGATATTTATTTAAATGGCACAGCTTATTGAAAGCTCAAGCGCTGTAAAATATTAGTGTATATAACTCATCTCCACTTACTATAAGAAATAGAATAGTCCTACAGTTTCTTTTCTCCTGCACCACCTAGTATTCTCTGATTGATTTTTTTGCCTGATTGACTACAGGAGGGTATTGATTCTTTTTTTTGTACTGTATTGTAGTATGTGTTTGAATGACTGGGAGTGGAGTAAAATACGCATTTTTGCTTTGACCAATCCCCTGCACAGGTCTTATATACATAAATATGTATATCTTGTGCATGTTTGAAATTAATAAGCAAAGGAAATGATTGATTA